CTGTCAGGGTGTGTGATCTGATCCCTGTGGGGTGTGTGATCCCTGTGGGGTGTGTGATCCCTGTCAGGGTGTGTGATCTGATCCCTGTGGGGTGTGTGATCCCTGTCAGGTGTGTGATCCCTGTCAGTGTCACGAGGGAGAGGCCTGGCCTGGCCCGTGACCGGAGGTGCAGCCCCGCGGCCCCCGCACTCCTCAGATAACACACCAGGAACTGTTTGCTCCCGGATCCCTTGGAATTGCCGCTCTTCCCTGCTGGGGTGGGCAGTGCCACCGTGCCTGTGGGACGGGCTGGGGTCCCTCCTGTGCTGCCTGTGTCCGTGGAGGGCTGACGTGGTGCTGGAACGTCCCAGTGTTGCTTCCAGCCTGGCATTCCTGGAGGTGGCTGTGCCAGCGGGGGTTCCTGCTGCCTGCTCTCTAATCCCAGTGTTGCTTCCAGCCTGGCATTCCGGGGGGCTGGCACTCCTCTAATCCCTCTCTTGTCTCTGCAGGGAGCGGGGATGGACAGGGACAGATCCTCCAGCGCTTCCCGGAGAAGGACTGGGAGGACAACCCCTTCCCACAGGGCATCGAGCTGGTGAGTCACTGTCCCTGGGGACCCTGGGGTGACACCGGGGTGGGTGACACGGGGACACATCCCACAGGGTCTGATGGGGAGAGGGGTCCCCACCTGCCCCCAGTGCAGCTCCAGAACACTCTGGAAACGGTGGGATCCAGCGTGCTGGCTCCTCTCCCTGCCTCTGTGCTCCCCCTCCTCCTCTGGGCTCAGCTGCTGGGGTGCTGGAATGTTTCCTGGAGGAGCCAGGGATGCAGCCTCACCAGCGTGGTCAGGCCCTTCCCGGTGCCTTGCCCCCTCTGAGCAGGGGCAATCCTGAGGAGCTGCTGGGACCTGGATCCCTGATCCCTCCCAGGGCTCCAGACATGGTCACCAACTGTCACCAGAGTCCTTTGGGATCAACTCAGTGCTGGGTCGTTCCTAGAATGTGGCACACCCAGCTGGATGTGGTGCTTCATGGGATCCTCCAAACCAGGAGAGTGGGATTGTTCCCCTTGGTTGCTAAATTGGAATGGAAGCTCTTCCCAAGTGCTGTGCTGTGCCCTGGTGCTCTGAGGACCCCGAGGGAGAGGAGCTGGAGCTCCACTGCCAGCAACAGGACAGACCCCAGACTGAGCCCCCCCGAGGCTGCTCCGCTCCCCTCTGCACTTTGTGGGATCATGGAATCATTTAGGCTGGAAAATCCCTCTGGGCCCGTTGAGTCCAGCAGTCCCCCTGCAGTGCCAAGGCCACCACTGACCCCTGTCCCCAAGTGCCACATCCCCAGGGCTTTGAAATCTCTCTGGGATGGGAACTCCCTCCCTGCCAGCTGTGCCAGGGCTGGACAGCTTCCCACTGTCACTGGGATCAGTGGGAGCAACTGACTCCTCTTCCCACTGTCACTGGATCGACAGTGTCCAACTCCTCTTCCCATCACGTGTTCCCCAAAACTCCAGCACGATTCCGGAGTTTTCTGGGCTGTTTTGTGCGAGGCAAAAACACACATTATTTTTCTGGTCCGAGTTTCCTGGTGTCTGTCTGCAGGGACTTGGGAACGGTCCCAAACAGGAGGAAAGCTGCTTTTTTCCCCAGGGGTCAAACCGTCCAACCAAAAAATCCCTGGAATTTAAACAATTGGAGCCCTGTCCTGTTGGGAGCCAGGGGTGGCTCCAGGGCTTCCCACAAGCTCTCCGAGGTGTCCCGGGGGAGCAGCACATGGGGCTGAGCCCAGCTCCCGAAAACCCGAGGGAGCCCATCCTGGGGGATTGGGCGGGACGTGACGTTGCGGTCGCAGCTGGTTCTTTTTAGCAGCTTTTCTGGGGAGAAAAGGCTTTCTGGGGTGCCAGGGAGCTGCAGTTTGTAGCTTCTGGCCTTGCGCGGCGTCCGGCAGCAATTCCAAACACCAACATCTCGTGTTGACGGAGCCGGTTCCTCCGGGGACACACACAGGATGTGGCCGTGTCCCTGCTGCAGCTCCTCCCTCCCTGCCCAGAGCTGTCTCCTCCTGAGCCCCTGGAGCTGCCTGGAGTGGGCATTCCCAGGGGAGAACCGAGGGATCCTGGTGGCAGCGGCTGCCACGGCCCCGAGCGAGGGGTGCGATGGGAGCGGAGATTCCTGTAAATCCGGGGCCTCCGTGTGCTCCAGGGAGGGTCAGGGCCATTCCCACTCTCCCTTCTGGATCCTTCCCGTGGTGCTGGGCCTCCTGTCCTTCCATGCTGTGATCCCACAGGTCTGCCTGACATGGCACAGGATTTTCCGTGTCCTGGGGTGGCTCTGGGGTGGTTTTGGCACCCACTGGGTGCGCCCAGGCCTCCAGATCTGTTCCACCTCTGGCAGCAGAGCCAAGGCAGCGTTCCAGACATCCAGCTTCCAGTGCCTAAGGGAACTCTAAGAGAGCTGGAGAGGGACTTTGGACAAGGGCCTGGAGGGACTGTGGCTGCCCCATCCCTGGAAGCGTTCCAGGCTGGGTGGGATGGGGCTTGGAGCAACCTGGGCTAGTGGAAGGTGTCCACGTGGAAGGGGATGAGCTTTGAGGTGTGGATGTGACTCAATCTGTTGGACTTGGTGAAATTCCCTTTTAATTGCGTGTCATGTTTTTCACTGAAGCTGGAAAATACTTCAGGTTTTGGAAAATTATTGAGGGAAAGAGGAAACAGGGAAGTAGTGGAGTCCCCATCCCTGGAGGAATTTAAAAGCCGTGTGGATGTGGCACTTGGCTGGGAGGGTGGGCAGGCCCTGGCACAGG